ATTTTATATAAAATATAAAATTTTAAATGTGACTCTTAGCATAGCTTTAAAAATATTTTGAGCAATAATTTAAATGTGATAAAATAATCATTGATTTCCTCTCATATATATTTATTAGGACCCTATTAAGATCAGGTGGATTGGGTAGGACATCCTCTGCTACCAACTCAATTAAAGACTCTTCATCTCTGGACAAGTCATCAATACAACTGACATCCAAGACCCCTTTCTGGCTCTACCAAGCAACCTTGGTTCCTGTGTCTTCTTTGGCTTCTGCGTGGTTTCTTCTCCTGATTCTTGGTGCTGTTTGCATCTCTACTCCCATATCTCTTCTGACTCCAGTACTTCTTCACTACAACCACCATACCCCCACTACCTGGCCTGGAGACATCCCAGGTACTGACTGACTGCTTCATCTAATCCCCGGGAGACAGGCCCAGAGCCTCCTCTCAGTCACTCAGCCAAAAAACTGGCTTCTAAGAGAAATATCATGATTACTGGTTTTAGTGGGTTTTCTTTAAATATTCAAAATAACTTATTCTACCCTAGGCATAAGGATGACATAAAAGATTCATTCATTCGATCATTCATTCACTTAGAATACTCATTTTGTACCTTTGGTGCTAAACATACAACTGTTAAAAATATAATAAGATAAAGATCTTCTCTGGCATTGCAAAGTATACCTCCCACTGGAAAGAAAAGGCAAGCAAGGAACACTCATACCACAACAGAGCTATATTAGAGGGAAGAACAAGACATTCTAGATGTTCAGAAGAGACAAAGATTCGTGCATTCCTTAGAATAATGTAAGAGCTTATATATTTTTATTTGTTTTCCTTTCCTATCTTCTTCTTACCCAGATTATTTTTTACAGTTTTAAAATGTAGTAGCAGATCATTTACAATTTGTTCAGCAAAATGAAACCTAAACTCTTTTTATTCTTAAATTATCTGAATATTTCAAGTAAAATATGTTTTTAAAAAAACCCCTACAACAAAATAAAACAAACAAACAACAACATGGTTACTTTAGTAGTCAGTGTAGATTCTGAGAGAGTTTCCCTGCCCCATCAAAGAGATTTTTTTTTCAACAAAAGGTATAATTAGGGGGGAGGGAGGGACAACCAAAGAAAAGATAAACCCTCTGAGAAAATATATTAGAAATTATGTGACATTCCTATTATTTCTGAATGTCACCTTACTAATAAAGAGAACACATTTGCACAAGTCTTTCTTCACCTTTGAACACATAGACTTTTAGCTTTGCATAATTAAAGTTCTACTAGAATTCTCAGCAGTATGTCAATATGTAGCTCACTGCTTCTATTCCTTCCCCTGTAAAATTATTATCTTACTACCTACCTCACAGGGTTGTTGTGAGGATCAAATAAGATATTGTGTGTGAAGATGCTCTGAAAATCATAAAGTGCTTTAAACACATAAGATATGATTTGTAGTGTTCTCTTTGAACTATAACTGCTATTCTACAAATACAACACAGAGTGTTTTAAACATGCATTCAGAAGAGGAGTAAAAGGAAAGTGCAAAAAGTCAAATAAATGATATGGACTACAAGAGAGATGCTAGAGAATAAGATAAGACTGTGCATTACATATGGGAATGCAAGTGTGACCAGATCGCAAATCGAGGAGTTAGTCCGAGCGGAGCAGAGGAGTAAAAGTTATAAATAAAAGGAGAGACTATACAGGGACATGCCAGAGGCCAGAAACCTCCAACAGAGGTCAGAACAAAATGTCAGACTAATAAAACAAGAGCCTGGGCTGTGAAGGACAAAGCAGGAGCCCGAGACATTGCTGATGAGAAATCGCCACAAAGAGTTGAAACAAATTAGAGTTGTCAGGAGTCCTCTCAGCGCTGTGCCTGTCTGATAGCAAAGACTCAAGGGGAAAAGAAGGTGGGGAGAGGGGCTCATCCAAAAGTCCAGAGTGTTCTCAATGTTAGCAAACCAGAAACTTTTGAAAAGAAATAAATAAGCAACGAAAACCATAGTTGCAATGGAAGGGATACTAACTCATGGGGGCCCCACTGATACATAACTATACTCCAAAGGGATTTTCTGTTTGTTTTTCCAATAGATCTCCAAGCACTATTTTCTCTGAATGGAGTCTTTCTGTGAAACAATTTAGCATATTAATCACTTGTGTTACCAACAATCTAGACAATTAATGCAAACATCTAGAAATAATTTGGATCACTTGCTTATTTGATGTGACCTTAGCCCATAGAGTTGCTCTGCTCTGAAGGTCATAGGCTGAGCATGGGGAAACCGCTGACTCTCTTGTTACCAGGCTTTGCTCCCCAGTGGCCTCAGAAGGATATTGAACATAGAGTTTGGGGGAGATAATTTTAAAACATGCTGTTTACAACTTATCTTATATGCTACCTTGCATACAGATTGCTAAATGTGTGAAATGCCAATTTGGAAATTTCCAAATTATACAGCCAAAAAAAGCTTGCTTAATGACCATTTAAATGTATATATTATATCAATATTACTAATGCTTACACATTGTTTAAGATAGAGTATGCTTT